TAAACTAAAGGTTTGGTGATGTAGGTCAGAGGTAGTGTACTTATTTAGCATGTGTGAGGCCTGTTATTTAATCCAGGAAGATGGAAGGGGAAGGGGGGGAAGAGGAGGAAGAGGAGAAGAAGAAAAAAGAAAGACAACAGATAACAAGTTAACAAGTACTGGTGAGGATACATAGGAGAAAAGGAACCGCTGTGCACTGTTGGTGGGAATGTAAATTAGTACAGTCATTATGAAAAACTGTAAGGTGGTACTCAAAAAATTAAAATAAAACCTTCATATGATCCAGCAATCCTGCTTCTGGGTATATATTCAAAAGAAATGAAATTATATATAGGAGAGATGTCTGCACTCTTGTGTATGCTTGCAGCACTAGTCACAAGAGCCAAGAAATGGCAACAACCTAAGTGTCCATCAACAGATGAATAAAGAAAATATGGTATATATACTCAATGGAATACTATTTAGCCATAAAAAGAATGAAATCTTGTCATGAAATCTTGACAACACTTATGGAACTGAGGTCTTAAGTGAAATAACCAAAGCACAGAAAGATAAGCATAGCATCTTTTCTCTCATATATAGAAGCTAAAAAAAAGTTGACCTGAATGTAGAAATAGTGATAACTAGAAGTTAGGAAGGGTGTCTGGGGGGGAGGTAGAAAAAAGGGAGGCTAGATTTGGTCATTACATGCTACATGCATGTGCTGAAATATCACATTGAACATCATTAATATGTAACAATACATGTTAATAAAAAAATAAACATTCTATTTCCAGATATCAGAGACTCAATTTTGTCTTGATAGCAATTCTTGCAAATTGATCTATAAATTCAATGCAACTGCTGTATAAATCCAAGCAGATTATTTTAAAAGCAGAAATTGCAAACTGGGTGTATAGAACTCAGGGGCTGAGGACATGCCTAGCATGGTCTTGGGTTTGATCACCAACCTGTAAGGAAAAAAAAGGATGGAAGGAAAGAAGCAAGGAAGGAAGGGGAAAGAAAAAAGAAAGAAACTCACAGGCTGATCCTAAAATTTATTTTTTAATGGAAAAAAA